TCTTTTACAGAAACGTCGATATCGGGAGAGCTAGAAACAATCGTCAATAATTTATTCAAAGCTGTAGTCGGTAACTGAATCGTCACCGATGAATCCTGTTGTTGTTGCTGCTTCGGACATTGTTTTTCTGTATTCTCATTATTGCTATTATTATTATTATTATTATTATTATTATTATTATTATTATTATTATTATTCACAGAACGATTATTGGTTTCCACATTGTTGTGACTCCTTAATCTATTTGCAATCGGAATCTTCTCGTTGTCCACCACAGATGAATCTGCGCTTTGCCTGCTTCTAAGCCAACGAGACGGTGATGATTCTGTACCTTGAGTCTGTACACTTTTTCCTGCATTTTCATCATTGCACTTGGAAACTTGTTGTTGCTGTTGTTGACTACGAAGGCTCCTTAAAATCTTCGTGGTATTTCTTTTTTTCTGCTGTTCCACTGAATCTTTGACTATGTCTTCGGTTTGATTATTTCTAGTAGAATTAAGATCTTTTTCAATACTGTTGTTATTATCTGATGATGACGTACCCACCAGCAATGCTGATTCTTCATTTTTTACCTCTGTCTGGAGAGAAATCGAATTAGAAATATAGAAGTAAGTAGTGGAATAAGCCTCTATTTTGATAACATACATAAATTTAAAATCATTTGAGAAATTAAGCCTTTTTTGTTCAAATTTTAATAATATTATTCACACAAATATTTTATATTGATTTATTATTCATTTATAATAATTTTTCAATAATGAATAAAAGATACATAATAATTTTAATGCAAAAAAAATGTTTGATAATACTGTATTAAAATTATACATTTTATTAATAAGTGAAAAAAAAGAAAAATATTTCGTGAAAGATCGCTTATAAATTGTTTAATTAAAGTTTAGGTTTAATTATATTTTTATTATTTATTTATTTTATTATTTATATGTATTTTATTATTTCATAGAATTTGAATTTATACTAATATATTATGAAACTAACATAGAAACAACATAGAAAAATTAATTATGATAAAAGAGTGATAGAGCGTAAATAAAATATAAACAAAATAGAGACTTACAGACTCTGTTAATGGTGGAAGATTGTACTGATCACGTAACACCTGTTGGGTGCGCAGACATTCTTCTTGAAAATCACAAACAAATTCAAGTTTACCCAGACATTGAACACAGATCGCTTTGGGAAGAGGATCCTTTTCATCTATCTGTGATTCATAAACGGAAGTAACATAACAAATTAATAATCAAATTTTAAAAAGTAATATTTAAAATGTAATTACTCTGAAAATTATAATTATGATATACATATTTGAAAAAAATAAAAAATAAAATCTTAAGCTACATATAATTTCTATACTAATTCTTGTCACTTTTTCTTTCTACATAAAATATTTAACATAAATATAACTGCTCTGCTCTATAGATAACAGTTTATGACATGTCATTAAATTTTAATCCTCACTAAATTTAATAATATTCGATGACAACAATAAGCTTGGAATTGTTAACAAAGTTAAATTGATAATTTTCATAATTACAACGTTTATTATTCACAATTTTTAAAAAAAGTTTACTATTTTCTTTTTACAAAAAATTATTTGCACAAACATACAATAATCTTGCAATTATATATACTTGTATATTTGAAAATTAATACAAATATTTTTTGTATATTTATTATTTTTCAAACAGTAATAATTTAATAAAAAATTCTGCAAGAATGTTCAAAAATAATTTACGTAAAATATCTACTATTAGTTATAATATTAGAATAAGTATAAAAAAAAAATCTTTTACTATTCTGAATGATATGCTAAAAAAGAATATTAACTATCAATATTTTGGCAAATATCTTTGTACTTTTTCTTAAAACTTAGATGTTTTAAGTCTAATCAACAATGTACTCATTTTGTTTTCTTACTTGTAATACATTTGTCCTGGAAATAACAAACATCATCATATTACAATTTGTCTCTTATGATTACTAAAGAAAAACATTATTTCACATAAAAATATTAAGACACAGACTGATAATCAAGGTCTGTTCTTATACTAATACGGCATTTTTGTTGTCACTATTATTATAAAAATTATTGTGCTTATTGTTTTTGCATGTCTACTGTAAAATAGAATAAATTAACCTCTTTAATGTAATCTAACCTAAATTGTCAGCGTTGTATTCAACGCGATGTTTTTTGTTTTCTTGTTACCTAGTTTTTTCATTTTTTCTATCGCCTGAGATAAAAATTGACGAACTTCAGAAGAGAAAAGAAATATGTGAAAAGAAATGCAATTATAAATAAAACAGTGAAAAAGAAAAAAAAAGGCATGAAGGACAAGAAAAAGGAAGCAAAGGATCACAATGTAGATTAGACTTTAAAATTCTCATTAATTACAGATTATTGCAATGTATTATTGATTAAAATTGTTTAATTTTTTAATAAAGAAAGAAGTGAAGATGAATAAATAAAAGAAACAAGACATTTCAACATCAGTCATACAAATCTTAGTGCTTTATTTTTTAATTATACTAAATGTCAAAAAACTGTTGAGTATTCAATTAAATTAATTATTTAAAAAATTGTAATTATCTTCTAGTATTTTGAAAAACATTGAAACCTATAAGCATTGCAAATAACAACTAATCATAGTTAGGATTTATTAGAATAAGATTTGTATTTCAAAAGTTTCGATATTCCTGATTTTGAGAAAAATGTTCCTTGCAATGATAAACATAAAGCATAAAGCAATATGTAAATTACACAAAGAAATAAGATATGCTGCATACAAATATACACGTTATTTTGAAAAACATTATGTATATAATATATATATAGTAAAAAAGAAAAAACATTTTCTTTGTATCATTTTTTTCCAACTCATACTCAGGTTAGAAAAGAGAATACTTATCAAGATTTAAAAATATATAACTCACCAAGATATTAATTTTTCTGTGAATCTTAAAACCAAGGTAACGTTTGATACCTTCCTCGCCGAAAACATCGATGTAGATTTTCTCGTACTGGCCGCAAAGCCTGCACATTTTCGCCTCCCCCTCTTCCACCACATCCATTCTTATGTATTCGTCAGTGCTTGCTTACATACACGTTTTACTATCGCAAGGTGGGAATCGATCGAAATCCACGCTTGTCGTTTCGTATCGCATAAGCAACGCTTCTTCCTCTCTCCTTACTTTTACGAATTTGCTTGTTTTTTTTGTTTTTAAAAGAACGCAACAAAATAAATATCCTTATCGTTCGTGACGCCAGAATGTGAACCGAATACTACGAAGAAGGGGCGAAAATGGAGACAACTACACTGGCGTTACTACTTGCTATGACAATTCAACACAAGAGATTCTTGTGGATTCTCGGAGAGTAATCACATTTGAGCCAGACTTCAGTCACGTCCACAAACTTTTAAATACTAGCCAGACGTTTTCGATACTGCCATTTGTGGCGCCCTCACTGCATGACTATTGGTTTCTGAGGAGTCGATTGTGTATCTCGAAATGAGAGTGAAAATTGCAAAAAGTGAGCTTTATATTCTTATACTCGTATTTATAGTCAGGCCTTATATTTAAGGCTTCCTTAAATTTATCCTTTAGATACATTTAGATATTCTACGAATTATTTCGTTGGCTGCTGAGCATCTAAAAATAAATTTAAGAAAGCCTTAAGTACAAAGTATGACTATGGGTATAGAGTTCTAATTTATAAGGGAAGCGCGCTTTTGATTGGTCATTGCTATTACGTGTTTAGTAGTCAATTGATGAATTATTTCTGTGTACTAAAAATAACTGCTTAATGGATGATTGATGGATTTTGAGTGCTCTCCATTTGATGACACAAGTCGACACAAGTTGACGATGATATTTTTAGTTTACTTCTTTTAATACTTTTTAATACTTTTGCGATACTAAAATTGGTTGCGCTTCTCTTATAAGACTCTAACAACCGTAAAAATTGCAGCACAAACTTTTGCATAATGCTTAATGCATAGTACACAAACGAATCAACTAATTAGAATGGCTGCGTTCAGCAGAACGCAACAATTTTGCAACCGTTTTATGATTCTCTGCTGAGATTGGACCATTTTTTTTATTCTAAAAATATAACTCAATCAGCGCGAAGAAAATTTCCAACAGTTGCAAAAATTTTGCTGCCATTCTTTTCTTTCCTCCTAGTCTATAAAAAAGAAGAATTTCGATTGATTGATTCTCTTATGCACTATGCATTATGCTTTATGCAAGAGTCTGTGCTATGGCCATAAAGCGGGGAGCACAGATTTTTGCGCAACATGAAGCATAAGAAATAATAAAATATGAAGCATAAGAAAATCAACCAATTAGAGAGAACTTTATTTCATGGAAAAAAAGGAAATGAAGGCCTTCGATTGATACATTGTCTTATGTATTACGTGTTATGTGTTATGCAAGAGTCTGTGCTCCTCCCTTAAACGTATGCATAAAGAAAATTATCCAATCACATTTTACGAGCGTCTCTATAAAAGAAATGCAATTGGATAATTTTTTTTTATGTATACGCGTATGCGGCTATGCAAGTTTGTTTGGATATTTTCTAACCGACCTGCAGTGTGATTACGGCCTAAGTAATATTATAATAAAACTAAATATGCATCAAAGTGATGGAATTAAAAAAAGCGATTAATTAAAAAATAATTAATTAATAAAGCATCTAGCCTATCTGCCGAGCAAATGAATATGATTGATTGTTACTTATAGATTCTTTTTTTTAGGTTATTGGTTCTCGCTTCTGAAATTAATAAGAAATTAATAAGAAATTAATAAGAAAGTCGATACGTCAACTTATCCAACCAATCGCAATTAATCGCTTGTTCGCTTGGCGAACAAATTTGTCCGGTTTGAACGCATCCAATTGCACAATGTAAACTAGGTCATTACTCGCTCACCAATCACATTTTTCGACATAGCGCCAGCGCGCCAATCGCTCTCTCCCGCTGGCTATGACGTCACCACAACGCCGGCGAATCGCGCGCTTTTGCGGCCAATCCCACGGCTCATTTTAGGAACACGCTGACCACGCGCAACCCCACCCATCGCGCCGTGACAAATGCAACTTTTACTTCCGGCTGCGTACACGGCCATCGCGCTTGGCTTTCATCGAGTCCGTTTGTGCTCCGGTGGTGTTCACGCGACGTTCAAGTGCTGATCTTAGCAACCTCTCTCCACGTTCTTGCTCCTACGACTGTCATCTGCGCTCCGCAGTTCTATATCATCCGAGGGATCTCTTTTGTTTGTCGTATGTCCATCCAGAATCTCAACACATTCGGTGAGTGAAACGCGCTGAAAAAAATGCGCATTGTCGCACCCTCTTCCTCTCTTCTCTCCTCATCTCTGTCCCGTGTATATATCTTCCTATTCTTTTTTTTTTCGCCGTCATCTCCCTCGTATACGTTGTCCTTTGCGAACGAAGGCAATAAAACGCGACACCATCGCTTTTGGGTACCCCCTTGAATCGAGCAAAATGGCGACGGGGTAGCTCTCGCCACTCGCGCGCGCTCTCGACCCTCTTTGCTTTGCATCATCCTGCGCAATCCCGTTTATCCCGCGCTGGGAGCGTCCCACACGTCGCGCGATCTGATATCTCTCTCTCTCTCTCTCTCTCTCACTCATTCATTCACTTATTCATCTGTCTCCCTTCTGTCTCTGTGTTCGCAGACCCCTTTGCAGATGCAATCAAGGGTTCAGACGATGACGTCCAGGACGGCCTCGTTCATATAAGGATCCAGCAGCGGAATGGTCGCAAAACCTTAACAACGGTGCAAGGACTTTCCTCGGAATATGACTTGAAGAAAATCGTGAGAGCATGTAAAAAGGTGAGTGTTCAGTGTGCCATGCTTCCCCCTCCTAACATTGAGGGGAAGATCCCCTTCTCTGATCCTTTCTCTTGCCTTCATCGCCGTCATTTCTGCTTCCCTCTGTCCCTCTTCGCTGTTCCCCCACCATCGGCCGATTAGGCAGAACTCTAAAAATAAGTCTGATGCAAACAATCATGATGATACAGGCTGGACAGATGTAATTTTGCAAGTTCTTCTAGGAATGTGTGGCATGCGAGTGCAACTACAAGTGGTTTGACATATAGAGAAGAGTCTTTGTTTCAGTTTGAGAATATTGATTATCATCAATGATTTGGCTCTTTTTTGTAGTCGCTTTGTGTATTCACTGTTAAATTAATCATATATATTTAATATTAAAAATATCTAGTATTCTTAATTCAACGCTATTTATTGTTGAGTAAAATAATAAGAAAAAAATATCTTTTATACATTAAAGATTATATTTTTACACAACAGATAATTCCAGAACATAATTACTCCAACTTGTCATTGTGTCAACTGAAATCGAATTTTTATAAATTGTAGCAAAATTAAAATAGTCAATGGAAAGAGACATGGTGTTTTTTAAATAAAGTTTGTGTATCTTATTAAAAATAGTCATGTGCATTTACAATAATATTTTGGATGCATTTACTTTATACTATGTATAAGCATTATTTCATTCTTGTTGTCAAATATTAAACAAGAATATATGATGCTTATGAATGCTATGAATGCTAAAGCATGAAATGTATTCTTTGTCATGTCAACTTATTAATATTAATTTTTTAAATATAATTATTTAAAAAATGTTACACTTTAATATTTATAATATTGCTATTTCTTGTAAATCATTAGAACTGTAATGGAAAAGCTGTGACTATCCGTATCTCATTTTGATAACGGTATCTGCAAAGTTTTGAATACATTCCTTTGGGAGAGATAAAAGAACCCAACATTCTGTGGAATTGAATTGTCTAGATAAAGTCGCTCCGAAGAATGCCTGCTTGATTTATCATTGCATTTTTATTTTCACAGGAGTTTGCCTGCAATGGGACAGTAATAGAGCACCCGGAGTACGGGGAGGTGCTGCAGCTGCAGGGGGACCAACGAGAGAATATATGCCAGTGGCTGACAAAGTCGGGTCTGGCAAAACCTGACCAGCTCAAAGTCCATGGTTTTTAATCAATTAACAACAACAGCAACAATTACCATCCATGCCACAACCCACAACAGCAGACAGCTCCCTCGTCAGCTCTACATGATCATCTCAAATTGAATCTGTATATCATTCACTAAACTTCTCGTGGGATATCCCGATTATACTTCACGTCAACATTATAAATATATATATATATATAT